CGTTGTGAATACCTTAAGCACTTTTGGAAAATTCTCAGATGTAACGGCATTAATCCAAAAAATACCGCTTTGAAAAGTCATATGATGAATGAACGTGATTCGATTGTGCCTCGGATTAAGAAATTCGAGCTTAAGCAATGTGTCGTACTGTTGGGAAATACGAACCTTTCAAATCATACGTTCAGTGAATTGTGGCGCGACAAGTGGATGTAGGAGTATCCGCACTGCAGAAAAAACTCAGTGCGGGTAAGGCAAAGAACGTATTTCCCCGTGAACCTGAAAGATACTTTCAAAATTTGTCTTCATTAAAATTAGGTAAGTTTTTACTCGAAGCTGTCTAATTCGGCCAGAAGTTCTGTTTCCACCAAATTATGTTAAACAGTTAGATTTAGAAGTCCAATTTGGGAATCTCTATCTTCAAGTAGCTACGCTTGCGTCATCATCAGCCTTAGCGGCCGAACATTATAAGTCAACCCTAGTTAACGTATGTTACGAGTACCTAACTTATAAACCTTGTACCAAGCATCTATTGAAGCAGGAACATCTAGATGCTCTTAAATAACTCAAGCGGAACGATAATGTACGGTTGTCTAGGCCAGATAAAGGCGCTGGGATCGTTCTGGTGGACAGATCAGACTAAATCAGCAAAATGTATGCTATTCTTTCCGACTGGTCACAATTTCCTAGAATGCTAAGAGTGACAAGACATGGACAATCGAGAGATCCATAACGAAACTCTTGCGTTGCTTAAAGCAAGAGAATGAAATTGGTTCGGACGTATTTGCATACACCAGACCGGGTGGGACAATGATTACAAGATTGTATGGCCTGCCCAAAGTACAAAAGAAGGTCTACCACTAAGGCCGATACTAGATATGTGTAACTCGCTGTATAATTCAACCGCCAAGTGGCTCTTCACAGGGCTAGAACCAGGCAGGAAAGCCATGGCTATATACAGTCTCAAGAAAACCTTTGATTTTCTTGAATCAGTGAGACAACTTGAGCTAGCAGGGCAACAGATTTTTTCTTAAAACGGGATCTCTTTTTACAAATTTTCCATCTGAGGAGAACATAGACTATCTGTGCGAGTTCACCCAGCTGCGTAACATCGAGGTTTGGATCCCAACAGACCGACTGAGACAACTACTACTCATGTGTACAAGAAGAAACATGCAGTTTCATTCTAATGGAACGCCGTATCGAAAATAGTCGGGGTGGTAATAGGTTTAGCATTAGGACGGTTGTTCATGGACGTCTTCCTGAGAAAATTGGAGTACAACCAGCTAAACGAATCCATCAACAGCTTGGATTTTACCGACGACACGTAGAGGACCTATTTTGCATTGCGGATTATGGAATGTGCGTTGATGATCTGTTGGCCCAGTTTTACACTTCACCTAATGACACAACTTTGACTATCGAGCTGCGACGTAACGACTCATTGGCATTTTTAGACGTCCAAATCAATAGGGCATCAGAGGTGTCAGAAAAGAAAAACGGAATGGCCAATAAACCCATTTCGCAAGTTTTGTTTCGATAAGTAAATAGGAACCTCGTCCGTTGCCTAAGGGAGAGTGCGAGGAGTATATGTACAGATGCTACGCTCCCAGATGTGCTGAGGTTTATACGAAGCATATTCAAGAGTAATGGGATCCTGAAAAATTCATGCGTAGGCACATGGAACCGCGGGTACATTAGTCAAACCCGTTTCCGCGGAGAAGAGGATGATATAGTTGTCGATACCATTTAAGGGTGACGCGGTAGCAGAAAGGACCACCCAGAGCATCTCCTTAGCAACAGAGAGAACGTATTTTGTCGCTTATCTACGCATTAGCTTCACCTCAACAAGAATCCACAGTCGTAGACCTCTTCTGTGTGTACAATTTATCTTGCAAGGTGTATTGGGAAAAGGACCAGGTGACTGTCCATTAGGGCTCGAGAGCATTGCCTAGCTTGGATCTACAGCGGCGCGATGAAGAATGTAACGAGTGCAGTATTGTCGCACCTAATAGGCTCCGACCATCAAAGCAACTCGTATGACGCATTCTCACCGATCTACTGTCCGCGGACGTTACAAACAAACAGTCAGAATTTGCCTGCTGTCAGCAGCGGAGGTGATCTCAATTCGGCTCTAGAACCCGTACCTATGTGCACAGAAAAACGTCCATACTTTAACCTGCCTTGGCATCAGACCAACGTGACGAACAGTGGCAGAGACACCACTCCACCTGACTTCACCTCAGTCAGACCAATCTCGCTGACTTATCGATTAGTTACCCTGTTTCAGTGACCGAATTTAAATCCATTTTTCTATTCCAGCTTGTTTTGTTATGGTTGTATTAGGCTGATGGTGAAGGCCTGAAAGCAAGCTTGTTCGCTACTTTCTGTTTTATAAATTTAATTTTTTCGACCCAGCGTTTCCTACTAATTGTTTATATTCCTCTTCTCTTCCTAACCTTTATCACATATCACTGTATGATTCTACCTAGCGGTATGCAAGCCTAACGTTCAGATTATTCATTTAGATGAGTTGTGCTCTCGTATTGTAAAAGTGATGCTTAGGACCCATCAGGTAACTTAAAATTTGTATATTCTTACCGTATATTTCTACAGGCAGAATTGGATTAGTTTTCCTTGGACCAACTGCTGACTGGCACTTTAAATTACATATCCAGAATCGCGGAAATTGTCTTCAAGGAATACCTTCACAAATAACAGGGTGAACAAGTTTTTCGTCTGTTATGCCTGCATTCGCCTCACGTATGTATTTAGGACCAAGTGTATTATATGGATCGTTTGAAATTTCAGGAAATAATGTTTGTTACTTTTTGATATAGATAGCACGCCCACCCACACTAGTTTATATTTCTAACTCATCACATTACGGATGCTTCACTACGAGTATTCCTGTTCGTGCCAATCACATTCTATCACGATAGGATAATGGGGAGCTGGAGCTCTATGTCAGTAATTGACAAATGGATAACAGGAAGTATGTGTATATATGTGGGTAAAATTTCCCATCACTGTTTTTCTTCTCAGTGTAATTCATGAACTCCTTGCAATAGGCGATGAGTAAACAGAATAGAATTTTGGCAGTATGAAAAAATGGGGCATTTCGCATTCTTCACTGTTCTAATACTAGCACCTTTGGTGTTCTATACAGGTTTCAACAAAATTTCACGGGGAACTAAAAGGTCCGATAGTACAACAAGATGAGTTTCAGCAATTCCATGATTTTAAATTTTTCTGGGTGTTTGGGAAGTTTAATTTTGCGATAGTTATTTATGTACTTACCTTAAACTGTTCCGGATAATACGCTACTGTTTCGATTGCGTTTCTGTTTCCGAATGTTTTAGCACAGACCCTCCAATTTTCTCAGAATGGGCATGCAGACGACATAATTTCGGATTCGCCAATTTGTTGGTTTTCATTTTCCATGTGATTCCTCCGTCTAATTCATATCCCACTATTCCCATCCGTCTTGTTTTCTTATGTTTTCGTTAGAACTAAAATGCTCGACAGAGTTGTCGAGTGCGCGAAAATCGACATCGGTCCGTGGAAAGTTTATTGCTTTTAAAATTTTATGTTCATATTTGCCTAGAAATTCCACCACACTTGGAAGCGTCTAATCGTGTGATCCAGCTCATAGAATACTACGAAACACTTTAAGTATTTTGGGTGTACTATTCTGGATTAATGCATATGGCACGGTAGCAAATTTACTTGTGCCATTGTGAACACTGTAAGCTACTGCGCAGTTTAGATGTCGTAGTGGGCCACTTTTGGTTTTATTTTAAAACAAATATGAGATTTGTCCATAAACTTCCAGCTTCTTTAAGTCAGAAGTTGTTTACTTCAGTGGTCGAAGAATTCACCACTCCAACTGAGGCCCTCATAGATGCTACGATGCAACCGATACCCGGTTTTTAGTCACATGCCATCGAACTACCTTGCATAATTCGCCCTTCACTCACAACTGCGACTTCGCATTTGACACGCTGTAGACGGTGCGCATAAGTGCAGCCAATCAGCAGCCCTGTCGTAATTGAGGATGCTTAACTCGCACTGATTATTCCTATCGCGAGTCATGATATAATATACCCTTCAACTAGTTACACTCGCCACTTATGATGTTTATTACGCACAATATTTTGCTGCGTAATATTGATGGTAGCAATGCACATTAGCCATATTTCTTTTTGTGTCAAATAGTTTGTGGACTGCCATGATTTCTTAGATGAATGTTGTATACATGAAACTATCTCTTAGTATAAATTTACGAAAAAATAGAAAGCTAAAACACAAAATGGAATTGTGATCAAACTATGTTCTAACCACCTTGTTATTGCCATAAATGTGATATATAATCCATTGGAATGGCTTGCCCAACTCACTTTGAAAATCCCAAACTTCAGAATATGCTTGCTTGCCTCAGCTATTATTTAGTTTCATGGATCTTTGTTTGTATGCTAAGGCAACGGAACCTTAGGAATGCTTCCAATTATCTTATCAATTCTAGCGATGGTACGCAATGGGAGCAGTGTTGCTCGGATGAAGTCGCTTTCGATGTGCTACCTAATTACAAATCAGCACTATGCACAAGGCATTACAATGTGCTCCGTAAACTCATAAATGCAGCTGAAGCCGACCGTAATATAATGTTGTATTTTAGGTTAATGCCATGGAAATCAAATTTGAAAATACACATCTGCTAAAATGTTCATAAGTAGCCTGGCTAAATGAGGTTCCACCATAATTTCAGAAGTTAGTTAGAGTAGATGATGGGACACCTTATCTATCTGAGTTACTGCAAAGATCTGGATGAAATTGTTGGTTTGATAGCAGACATGAGGGTGTTAAAGTCTAACGTCGTCCCAAATAGCAATGGGATGGGAGAAGATGAAGTAAGACTTAAAAGCATCTATGCAACATAGGTCGATGTAAACAGACCGATTAGCTAACAGCTTACTCTAACCAAAAGTTTTGTGCATACTCACGGTAATAACTCGATTTGGCCGACACGAGAGTATTGTCGGAGACTGAGGTGGATGCGGAACACCGATCCATTTGGTTCGCCATTCCCATCAACACCAAACAAGCTAAAACCAAATCGAGTACTGAAACACTCGTATTTGGTAAATGCACCTTTAGTGCTTTATAGATCACAAACAGGTGCAAAATTTTAAGTAGCTGTGCTTGCAACATCTTGAGCTCACAATCGATACTCAAATCGTCCAAATTTCAATATTATCCAGAAGTTTATATTAGAACCAAATGATGCAATTTATGGCTTATCTTGCCCAAACCAGTAGTAAGCACATGCAGCGACAAGCATCCTCTCAGAACTTCCCCCAGTAAAGTTTGTAGCCCGGCAACTCTGAAGCGACCAATACAGGAATGTGGAGATATCAAGCTTGACCAGTTGACACAATGTACCATTTTAGGCTTTGGCTGCAACACTGAAACTGACATAAGGATAATCAGCAGAAGACAGACCAACCATTTACATACAGTAACCCTGCGTGTAACTTCAAATTAGTCACAAGGTCACCCTTACACACGCGTGACGTGCGTGCTTTTGAGTCACCTGGATTATCCCCTCTATCCTCTCTCCATCTGCTCGCAGCGTTATCACTGTACGCTCAAACGAACAGGCTCGACGTGCTCTTTACAACGCACAGCGTATTTCTAATCCACGCATTACAGACGACTATATCTCGTGGATTTTTCATTTTCCCGTTTTCTCTGTGGAGGTTTACACGAGGACTTTCTTTCGCTTTGCATCCTACACCAAAATTGTGACCTTCTTTGGAAGCCCAACATAAGGGCTCTGTAATAAATACACAACTGCTTTTATCGATAGCTGCGTAAGGCAGATGCAGGCAGCAAGCTCAGGGATCTACCGCTATTCTTTAGACTGTATCTCAGACACCGAGGCTGCCACTTCAAATCAACAGACCGGCCACACACCACTATACCTTTTCGAAAGCAAGCCAGTCCTTAACGGAATCAAGCTCCTCCTTAAGAATATTCAACCCAATTCATAACCAC